TTAAGGCAGCTCTTTTGAGGTTTGGGGTTCCAGGCGCCCGGCCCAATCCTTGAAAGTCTCCAGCTGCATCTTTGGCCTGAAGGAAAAAGCAACGGCGCCAACCTGCCCTCTGCCTCCTGTCCGAGCAGCACGACGCTCCGGGCCCCAGGCTGGGACATGAAAGCCGTGAAGTACCTTCAGGGTCTCGTTGAGGGTTTAGGGTTTAGGGTCTAGGGTCTAAGGTCTAGGGTCTAGGGTCTAGGGTCTAGGGTCTAGGGTCTAGGGTCTAGGGTCTAGGGTCTAGGGTCTAGGGTCTAGGGTCTAGGGTCTAGGGTCTAGGGTCTAGGGCTTGGGGATGTTCAGGCTTTAGGGCTCAAAGAGGGTTTAGGGTTCAGTGTCGAGCTGTTGCTTTGGGTGAGCAGCCCCGATCTCCAATCTGGGGCGCACCCGAAGTCTCCCAAGTTCTGAATGCGTTGTCTGGCGTCATTGTAGATCGGATCGAAGCGCTTGTGGACCTCCGACAAAAGGTTTTACGATATTCGGGGTGCCTGATTGGGGTCCTTACTAGAAGGGGATCCTACGAGTACTACTTGGGGGTCTACCTTAGGCGCCCCCTAGTTTCGTAAACCCCCACAAGGAGCACTGCCAAAGAAACGAGACTCTCGCTAGCAGGCGAACCTCGATCTGGAGAAGGACGCCCTTCTCCTTTGCAATACCTTGGAGATATACTCTGATTGACTGCCGGTGACTGACTCACCTCCCCCCTGGTTCTTAGCAGGGAATGAGGGCTACATACACCCACGAAGGGATTCTCTAGGGTACCTCATTCGCTCATTCCCTACAACCCTAAACCCTAAACCCTAAACCCCAAGAACCAGCCAGTGCCACGTGCCAACTGAGGTCGATGCTGACAAGCTCTTTGTGCTGCTCGAGAGTTTTCACCATCGGCTTGGTCCTGACGTTCACAAAGCGAACGACCGAGCTTACTTGGATAGGTTCATGGGTACTTATAACGCCACTTAGAAGTCTACTTCTAACCTACTTAGGGGACTTCGGGGGTTTATAAGTGCTTGCAACCTACTTAGGGGACTTCGGGGGCTTATAAGTACTTGCAACCTACTCAGGGGACTTGGGGGGGTTTACTATAAGTACAGTTATAATCGGGGGTTATAAGTGCCCATGAACCTCCAAGTACCCCCTTTCAACTTGACTGAGCCCCGGGCACCAACACGTGCACGCCGCCTTGGAGAGCGGCCTTGCAGATCTCCTTAGCTTCCACTGGCTGGTTCTTCGTTTAGGGTTTAGGGTTTTGGGTTTTGGGTTTAGGGTTTAGGGTTTGGGGTTTGGGGTTTGGGGTTTCGGGTCTAGGGTCTAGGGTCTAGGGTCTAGGGTCTAGGGTCTAGGGTTTAGGGTTTAGGGTTTAGGGTTTAGGGTTTAGGGTTTAGGGTTTAGGGTTTAGGGTTCGGGAGTGAGGTACCCTATGCAATCCCTTAATGGGTGTATATAGGGCCCGAATCCCCGTCCAAGGGAAACCACGACCCATGCAGGACGCAGCTGCTTGCGTGCGGGAGTCGAAGTGGGTGTCGTCGGGTGTGAAGCTGGCATGCAGGAACACGCGGATCACGTGCTTCAACAGGGTTTAGGGTTTAGGGTTAAGGGTTAGGGGGCATCTTCATTAGTCTTCAGCAGCGCACAGAAAGCAGTTCACAAGCATGGCAGGCGGACACGGTGCAAACGTCCCCAGGCTTGAAAGCTTTGATGGCATCTAGGTACGCCTGTGCGGAAGCAGCGCATGGATTTCTGGACTCCTCACCGGAACGTTCCTTCCTAACTCCAAGGCGCGCCTTGGAGTTCTTGCCTGCTTTGGGAAAGAATTCAAACCTCAGCTTCGCACCCAAAAGGTTCCAGGCCTCAGGACTCAAAGGAGAGAAACGCGGATACGCGGGCTGAGAACCCGACTCTTTGCTGCCAATGTTCGGAAACGTCAAGTTGCGACTGGCACCACAGCTTGCACATTGTCAAGGTAGAGGGGCTTTCCGGCTTTAGAGCTCCACGTTGGGCTGCTCCCCCTTAAACTAACAGTCCTTAATATGGATTATAGTACTCCCGATGATGATCCCCTTAAAGGACTGTTAGTACAAGGGGGAACATCCCAAGTTCCACATTCTGTTTCCCAGCTTGGTTTGCTTTCGCGCAGCACTCAACAGCAGGAGCAGTGCAGGCTTCATCGCCCCAGGGTTGCCCACTTCTAGGCCCGTTGAAGGAGGGAATTAGGGCAACTTTCTATATACCCTTTAAGGGAGTACATAGGGTACCCCACTCCCTCATTCCCTACTGAGAACCAGCCAGTTACTGTTGCGATCCAAGAGGTAACAGAGAGCTTACTAGTGCCGGCCTGAAGTGATCCTTGATCTTGGGCTCTTTGTCCGCATTCGTTCCGACCAAGGCAATGCGATTCCTGAATAGCTGCCGCGTTCTACACGAGAGCGAGAGCGAGAGAGAGAGCGAGAGAGAGAGAGAGCGAGAGACAGAGAGAGAGTGAAACAAAGACAGAAAGATAGAGACCGAGCACTCCAGATCTTCATCCCGCATGTCATGAAAACTTAGTCGTCAACCCGATCTTCCCTCTGGCACGCAGGTCGAAGAAGGTCAATCCAACCTCGGCACGGCAGATGCTACTTTGCCAGCGGGCATGATGCGGGCCATCAACGAAGTAACGAGGAGATGTTTGACATCAAAACCTGAGGCCGTAGCTACACCCAGCGACTTGTCAGACTTAGCCTGCAAATCTGCAAAAGGCTTTTTGTCGAGCATTGCGCCCGCATTTGCACGCTCCCTGGAGATATCTTCACCAAGCGACTAGAAAGCGCATGCGCGAATGATACTCGCTCGATGCGATAATCTGATGGGCCTGGCCAGCTGGTGTTAAGCCAGTGGTGTATTCACCAGTGCCGAACAAAATCGCATCCGGCGCTTGCCACGCAACCTTACTCGCAACACCGGGAGCGCATCATGGCTACGGAGCCTCGTTCGATCGTGGCACTTTACGGCTCAGAACTCGCGGCGCTACAGGTCACGCCAGGACGTAGTTAAAATGCGAAATGCAAACTCAACCTTCTTGGGCTCGGGCTTTGGCGGCCATTTGCCAGCAGTGTGAAGACTGTACAGGGCACAACCCAAAAGGCTAATAGCCGAGACAAGTGCGCGCAGTGCCTCACAGGACCAAGAAGGGAAGTGGTTTAGGGTTTAGGGTTTAGGGCTTAGGGCTTAGGGCTTAGGGTTTAGGGTTTCGGGTTTAGGGCTTAGGGTTTAGGGCTTGGGGCTTAGGGTTTAGGGTTTCGGGTTTAGGGCTTAAGGTTTAGGGCTTAGGGCTTAGGGTTTAGGGTTTCGGGTTTAGGGTTTAGGGTCTAGGGTTTAGGGTTTTGGGTTTAGGGTTTAGGGTCTAGGGTCTAGGGTCTAGGGTTTAGGGTTTAGGGTTTAGGGTTTAGGGTTTAGGGTTTAGGGATTAGGGTTTAGGGTTTAGGGTTTAGGGTTTAGGGTTTAGGGTTTAGGGTTCAGGGTTGAGGGTTTAGGGTTTAGGGTTTACTGCAATTTTTTGGAACCCACGCCACATCGAAACTTGAAAATCCGGAAGTCCACAGAAGCCGACGTCTCGGCTTCATCCGGCCACCATACGTTGGATGAGATTGGCAAAGGTTGCACCTGTATGCACAACAAAGATGGTCTTTCTTAACTCCTCAACCCTGAAACCATGAAATCCCACGAAATCCCAAATCCCTATCGCCAAGTCCAAAAAACAACCAAGCATTTGCTCCGCTTAAACCCAACACACTCTGTGGCCCACGGTACATTGAACATGCACCATACCAGAGCTCGATCAAAGCTCATAAGCTGTGTAGGTGTATGCTTTTAAGGAAGTTCTCTCGCTTGCACACGCCCTTTCTTTTGCACCTTGCACTGCTCCCCTGAAGCCAACGTAAACACTGCAACTACCAGCACTTGCCCGCTCTCTGCACACTTATTGTATTCTTTTGAGATTCCAAGCGAGAAAATCCAATTGTGTTTGGGCTACTCCCTGTTGACACTGAAGCACTCCCAATTACGTGGCCCCCCAGCGCTTGCAGGCTCAGGGGTTTGGTTTCGGTGTTGCACTCTGACGCTTGATTTTTCGGCGAAGTCGATGGCACACGAGTCTGCAGGCGGTGACTCATCCACATCACTGGCCTGACGCAGGATTTTATCGGAATTCCGCATGAAGGACATAATAAGTGCACCTCTGAATCACTGGATCATAAGATTTGTCTCAAGATGTTTTCAGGATTTCAAAGACTCACTGAAGGTACTCCAGCGCACTTTGTTCTTGCCAACAGAGGAGTAGAAAAGGGGTCTTTTAGGAGTTAACGGGTTTAGAGGTTTCAGGCGTTGGAATTCAAGGCCCTTTTGCTGACCAAGAATGCCGCTCGCCAAGTAGTGCGCTGATGATTCAGGGGACCTGAAAAAACACACATCACGAATTGAAACAACCCGTTAACGTTAACCTATCAGCCCTGAACCCGATCAGCCCGAAACCTGTCCCCGAGCCCCTTGGACTAATCCTTAGGGGCTGAACACCCTAGCCCAAATAATAAACAGTAGGATTCTATATCCGAGACCCAGCCTGCGGGTCAACA